AGGCAAACCATCCGTGAGTGGTCATCTCAGATCCACTCCTTAGCATCCTTAGGATGCCCACTGACAAGTGGAATAGCCTTCCCCAATATCCCTCTGTCAGTCCCCACTAAGTCCCTTTCTGCCCCTGGCCGTGTTTGCCAACACTGCCACTGGATCGAGACCCACAGGCCCGACCACTAAGTCCCACGGTCCTCTGGGACTTCCTCACCACACGACTGTGTCCTTGGTCACTACCCCTGAGGACTGCTCCTCTTCCTTTCCACAGTCTGGGCCTTTGGGACAACATTTCGGAACACCGTGGCCTTACGCGAGCCACCTGGGTACTCTCCTCGCCTTCTGCCCTTGGGTGCTCTAGCCATGGGCTTAGAGCGGGTTCCGTTGAGCCACACCAGGTATCCAAGTAGGTAGTGCCACCCACACTTGGACTGGGAGCATCGGCCAGTCGATCTCCCGGGGGAACTAGAGCCAGCTCTTGAACACTTCACCAAGCTACCCCGTTTGTCGGTCTGTGTTCACTCCAGTCTTGGACTTCCCAGTGGGCAGCTCATCACCCAACACTGGGTCCGGCCTTCCTGGGCCAAACTGGCCTTTCCTGGCCAAACTGGCTCCACTGCAGTCCTCCCCCTTACTATACTTTTGGAGCTCACCAAACCCCCCAGGGTCTGGGAGACGAACGCTTTGGGCTTTCACCCTCTCAGGCTCCGGACTCGGACTCGGACTTGGACTCGGACTCAGACTCGGATTCGGACTCGGACTCGGGCTCGGGCTCGGTCTCGGCCTCGGCCTCGGTCTCGGTCTCGGTCCCGATCTCGGTCTCGGTCTCGGTCTCGGTCTCGGTCCCGGTCTCGGTCTCGACTTCGGACTTCCATCTCGGACTCCATCTCGGACTCCATCTCGGGTCCATCTCGGGTCCATCTCGGACTCCATCTCGGGTCCATCTCGGACTCCATCTCGGACTCCATCTCAGGTCCATCTCGGACTCCATCTCGGACTCCATTTCAGGTCCATCTCGGGTCCACCTCGGACTCCATCTCGGACTCCATCTCGGACTCCACTTCGGACTCCAACTCGGGTCCATCTCGGGTCCACCTCGGACTCCACTTCGGACTCCATCTCGGACTCCATCTCAGGTCCATCTCAGACTCCACTTCGGACTCCAACTCGGGTCCATCTCGGACTCCACTTCGGACTCCAACTCGGGTCCATCTCGGACTCCACTTCGGACTCCAACTCGAGTCCATCTCGGACACTCCCATGTGTCATGTGTTGGTCCTTTTGGGTCCCTTTTTGGAGCCTTGCCTTTTGCTCGCTTCGTGCTCGTTCCTCGAGCACTTCGTTGGGAGTTCCACTCCCGCTCTTGACTTTTCAAGTCGGAGCTTTTGGTCCAAACGTGTTACGCTCGTTTGGCTCTCGCTTCGGCCACTACCATATGGTGCCCTTCCGGCTCCACTTTGGGGCCTAGGGATTTTGTGTCTCACAGCAATCACCGTGAAGTGATCGAACCAATGGTACACATCATCCCCAGGATTCCCACGAAAGAACTTCAGCCGAACGCGAGGATTGGCACCGAGAGCAGGAGTTGGACCACATGCTGTGAATGCCGCCATCAATTGAGTTTGGTTGTTCAATTGCAAGCGCATAGCATCAAACAATTGAACCAACTGCTACTCTAAAGTCAAAGGAGGAGATTGCTGATCGGCTATGAAGATGAACGAAAAAAAGAAAGAGCAAAAGAAATGACAAAAAGCTGGAAGGAAGTGGTAGATCTAGACAATGCAAAAAGCTAGATCTAAACCAAAATCCTAAAAGGAAAGAACAAGAAAAAGGAAATGGAAAAAGTTAGATCTAGATGATGCAAAAGCTAGATTTAAACCGAAATCCCAAATCCAAGCACTCTTAGGGACACCCCTCACCTCCACTAATGTGAGTGCATGGAATATAGAAAAGGAATACAGAAATATACATATTCATTAACTCAAAAACCCTAGTTTATATATAAGAGCGAGTGGTCCGGATTGAAACCAATCCGACGGCTACCAAAATAAATTAATTGGAATTTCCCTGTTTGACCTTGTTTAAAACAAAGGCTGCTTAAAGAGTAAGATTTTTGCATAAAAGTCCTTGACCCCTCGGCATCGAACCTGGGTCGAGTACACCGGTTTACCTTTGCACTTACCTGGTAGCCATCATCTCAGCAATTGGGTTTTGATAATAAAATATCATACCATCTACGTGAACCATATGGCATCCATGGCAGTTTGTTAGATCACAGATCCACCCGCATTCGCGCTGCTCGAGGCCAGTGTTTCGTCCTTGGCAGAAGCGCTTCCCCGATTTTAGAGGTATGAGGACGGGATCTAGATGGATCGGGGCGGTGCTCCTCTTCCCAAAATACTTGACGACCACCACGTGGTGGGATCCAAGGACGATAGTGGCGCTCTGGGTGTGTGGAGTTCACTCGGTGGTGGATTAAACCACTCGAACGAAGAACACTGTGGATTATTAATAAAAATTAATAGAGTAGATCTCTCAGAGAGTTTTGTTCGAGATTTTCTCACGCTCATTCGCTGTTTCTATGAATGAAGCAGGGAGGAGAACAACTGGTGGCTCATTCCCGTCGCTCTGCTTGTCTGTAAATGTACCCAGGCAAGGATCGTAGATTGGCAGATCCAGGACCGGACTGTCTATACCGAAGACCTTTCATCCAGCGACACAAAAATGTCAAACATTGGAACCGTTGCTGCTCCAAGGTCAAGTTTGTTTTAAATTTTTTTAACTTTTGTCCATAGTAGAATCGAACCTGAAACGTGTGCTTTGGGAAACGCCTCTAAGCTATGTGAATAATAACTTATTGAGCAAAATTTTTGCATAAAAGTCCTTGTTGGCATCAAACCTACACTTATTTGATAGTTATGATCTCACTATGTACTTGAACCATTAATAAACTTTTGTCTTTGGGAATTTGTTAGATCGTTTGATTATCCCTGAAGGACTCATAAGAAGATTCTTGTTTTAACATTTTTAGCACCACAAGGTTTTCAATATTAATCACAATATGTTTTTTAATTCCTAGGGGATGAGCAATTCTTGAAAGAAGCTAGCTGGATTGGTCCAAACCCCAGGGCTTTGCAGGTTGCAAACTCAATTATATTAACTCTTGATCCTCTATCGAGAATATTTCAAATTGGGATTTTGCATGGGGACTTTTCCCCAAGTATATTATACACCTCACTTAAATGTCCAAGATTTTTTTGGTCAAGTATGGAGCTAACTAGAGTTTGAGGGTATAGATATGCTAGAGTCCTCTAGAATATGTGGGAACACTCTAGAGTGTCCTAGAGGTGTCATCCCAGTGTATAAAAGAGGAGCAATCGCTCACATCTAGCATTGATCAAGTCTATTTGTTTCTAGCATTCACCCAGCAAATCTCTTGCCCACATGGCTTTGTATTTCTACGGTTCAAACATCTTGGATCCCTTTGAGGACATCTCGTCCATCTTTTCTTGTGACAACAGCAGCGCCGTCGCCAACACTCGCGTGGATTGGCTCGAGACACCCGAGGCACACATCTTCAAGGCCGATCTCCCGGGTGTGAGTAGAGAGGAAGTGAAGATCAGCGTGGAGGACGGCCGCACTCTCCAGATCAGTGGCGAGAGGAAGAAGCACGAGTCTGACAAGAGCGATAAGTGGCACCGCGTGGAGCGCAGCCACGGCAGCTTCTTGCGGAAATTCCGGCTGCCCGAGAGTGCAAATGTGGAGGCGATCAAAGCTACAGTAGAACACGGTGTCCTCACTGTCACAATTCCAAAGATCCCCAAGCCACAGCCAAGAACAATCCAAATAGAATAGAGAGCGGTAAAATGATGGGAATAAAGTGAAAGCTCTCTTTTAACTTTCATTTCTAATTATTTTACAATAAATAATATTAAATGATGTTTTCTTAAATCCTAATTTGAGTTTAAGAATTATAAACATTTTTGGTTTGATGTTAACATGCGAATATTCTTTGCCTTGCAGATAACATTGGCAAGAATCGAACCCGAAACGCATGCTCTGGGAAACCGATGTCCTAAATGACTGGTCTAAGTTCTTTTAGTGAGCTAGCGAACCAGAACAAGGGCTACTTAAAGAGCAAGATTTTTGCATAAAAGTCCCTGTTGATTGGACCCTTCGGCATCGAACCCGGGTCTTCTATACCGGTTTACCTCTACACTTACCTGGTAGCCATTATCTCAGCAACCGGGTTCCAATAACAATATATCATACCATCTATTTGAACCATATGGCATCCATGGCACTCTGTTAAATCCCGGGTCGACCCGCATTCTCGCGTCCTTGGCAGAAGCGCTTCCCCGATTTTAGAGGTAAGAGGACGGGATCTAGATGGATCGGGGCGGCGCTCCTCTTCCCAAAATACTTGACGACCACCGCGTGGAGGGATCCAAGGACGATAGTGGCGCTCTGGGTGTGGGGAGTTCGCTCGGTGGTGGATTAAACCACTCGGCCAAGGAAGGAAAATCGACAGGAGAGTTTTGTTCGAGATTTTCTCGCGAATGAAGAAGTGAGGAGAACAACTGGTAGCTCATTCCCGTCGCTCTGCTCGTCTGTAAATGTACCCAGGCAAGGATCGTAGATTGGCAGATCCAGGACCGTATCGAAAACACGGCCAGGTTTTGGGAGGCCTGATCAAATCTCACAAGAACGCTCTCTCGGCATCCAGTGAGTTTGCATAGAGCAAGCACAGTTTTTTTCATTATCCTCCTATTGTTCTTACTATTTTTATTTTCCTGTAAAAGAAAGAAAACGAACCCAAAAATGGTCATGAGTTATATAAGTTCTCTGAATGAAAATTTTCCACAGCGCCGCTCCTCCACCGCCAGATAGCCGCCAGAGCGCCACCACATCTGCCCAGATTTTACTACGATTATTTTTAACGGTCAGGATTTGTTCTTCGTCTCTAAACCTCAAGAACCCTAAAATCAGATGATTGGGCAAATCAATGTCGCGCTACGAGAAATGGCTCCAATCCAGCTGGACGGCGACGGCCGCGAGCGCGATCTCCTCTCCGGTAAGAACATCGGCTTGATCAACGCAATCATTGATGGATTTGCGAAACGGGGCAGGATGGATGAGGCACGCCGCATTTTCGATTCCATGGATCGGCGCACCGCGGCGTCGTGGAACTGCGTCATCGGCGGCTACGCGCGGTGCGGCCAGCCGGAGCTCGCGCTCCAGTTCTTTGGGCGGCTCCATGCCGAGGGGTTGGATCCAAACGGCCGGAGCTTCGTCGCGGCTCTCCAGGCGTGTTCTTCGCTGGCCGCTAGAGAAAAGGGGGTGAGAGATTTACAGGGGAAGATCATCAAGCTCAGGAGCCTCAAGAGAGGCTTGGCTCTTCATTCCCAGCTCCAGAGTGGTGGATTCTTGGTGGACAGGTTCGTGGCCAGCGCCCTGGTGGATTTCTATGGAAAGTGTGGCACCGTGAGAGAAGCTCTAGAGATTTTCCAGGCTGCCAAGTTGGGAACAAAGGACGTGGTTTTGTGGAGTGCCATGATCAGCGCTTGCTCGCAAGGAGGGGAAGACGAGCTAGCCTTGGAGCTCTTTGAGCTTATGCTTTTGGAAGATGGAGTGGAGGCGAATGCTCGGACTCTGGTGGCCGTGCTCGACGCTTGCACGAATCTGGGATGGCTGGACAGGGGCGGAGAGATTTACTCGAAGTTTGCAAGAACAGGGACAGGGATTTCGTCCAGCGTTTTCGTCTCCAACAGTCTGATGGATATGTATGCAAAGTGGGGGAGATTGCTGGATTGCCGGCGAGTTTTCGACGGGATGATAGAGCGGGATTCGGTCTCCTGGAATGTTTTGATCATGGGATATGCAAAAGGTGGCGAGGCCGAGCGAGCTCTTGAGTTATTCACGGCCATGCAAGCGTTAGACGTGGTCGTCAGCTCCAGAACTTTGGTGGCCGTTCTCCAGGCATGCTTGGATATGGCCGAGAAGGAAGAGACTCGGCTTGTGGATGGAAGGCCCTTGAAAGTGGCGTCGCTGGAGAAGGCATTGGCTTTTCATTCCCGGTTTCTCGACGGGCTGGAAGATGTTTACGCTGCAAACAACTTGATGAGTCTCTACGCTTGGTGTGGAAGTTTGGATGATGCGGCTCGAGTTTTTGACAAAATGGTGATCAAAGACTTGGTTTCGTGGAACATCATGATCGAAGCCTACACCGAGAGTGGAAACCATGAGCTGGCCCTGCAGGAGTTTTCGAAAATGGGACTCCAAGGACTGAAACCGGACTCGCAGACTTTTGCATCGGTACTTAAGGCCTGTGGTGGTCTTGGAGCACTACAGGCTGGACAGGCAATCCATCGTCTGATCGAAGAAGCTGGGGCCGAGAGCTCTCCGGCGGTGGCAAACTCGCTCGTAAGTTTCTACGGCAAGTGTGGTGACATGGTGGAATCTCGGCGAGTGTTTGATGGGTTTCCAGACAAGGACGCAGTGTCTTGGAGTGCACTGATCGCGGGATACAGCCGTCAAGGGGACAGTGACGCGGTGTTTGATCTGTTCGAGAGAATGCAAGAGTTTGCCAAGCCGGACGCTGTGACATTCTCTTCAGTTCTATCGGTCTGCTGCCACTCTGGTTTGGTCGACAAGGGGATGGAATACTTTCACGCGATGTGCTCGGACTATGGACTTAGTCCGAGTGTGGAGCACGTAATCTCCATGGTTGATCTACTTGGACGTGCTAATCGGCTGGAGGATGCGCTTGCGATGGTGCAAAACCTGCCTGTGGAAGACGTGTGCTCCAGGATATGGATGGCATTGCTTGGGGCTTGTTTCAAGTGGAAAAATGCGGTGATTGGAGAGGTAGCCTTTGATGCGCTATCAAAGGTTGACGATCAAGGTGGTACAGCTTATGCTCTCATGGCAAACATATACTCAGGCTCAAACAATGAAAACCTTGAAGTGATCGGTACGTAATGAAGTTTCTATGACTTTGCATTTATCTAAACTCTTGTTTTTTTCTTTGCAGCTGGATCTTTGTGATGTCACTTCACGAGGAAAGAGCACAGAAATACCAGGTGGATACGGGCACACGAGCTCAGCACTCGCTAGACCCACTGCTTCGTCAGCTTTGCAGCAGTAAGTTTCTGTAACAAAGCATCTCTTGGACTAACTAGTGCTTTCCATTTGATTTTATTACAATCAGGCACTCAGGGTCTGGAATAAGGACCTATTGTCAATCTGGAAGAACTCGAAAGCTCTTGAAGCCTTTGATAAGTTTCTCAATCTCGCTGCTGCTAGTGCTGGCTCCTATAGCAAAAGTTATGGAGTTCAGAAGAGGAAGCTCGGCCACTATCTCGCATTTATCGCACAGAAAGTCATCGGCAAGAGTTCCTGTGACTCCGAGCTCCCACAACCCAATGGTGATCCTAAGCTCATAAAAAATGGTATCAGGTTTGGCTGCCAAGCTCACATTTTCTCTATCAAGGACTAAAACTTGTGGAATTTGTTTCAGGCGTCGCCGAGATGTGGAAGCCAGCTCCAGAGCTGTATCAAACAACGGATGGTCGTCGCTTGCTGCACAATTCATCTTGCGGCATCGAGAGAGGCCAAGAGAAGGTAACTCGGACTGGAGCTTTGCAAGGTTTGAAGGCACTTGCTAATTCTCTCGTGCCTTACAATCTTGCAGCCTCTTGCAAGATGGAGCATCCCGGACTGCATAAGAGACGAGAGTACCTTGGATTGGACAACAACGTCGGCTCCCTGCTCGAGTGCCGTTGCAGGAAACCTCGAGTGGAACATTAAGTGCGCTCCATGAGCCTCGTCAACTATGATCGGGATACCATGCTCGTGATACACCTATGCGATCTCCTCCAGGGCTACACACTCCATAGTAAGTTGGCGAGACAATCAGAACAGCTCCAATTCCCACTTCTTTTCTTTTCTGCAGATCCAAAATGGCCAACTCGATGCTCTCTGCGGAGACACCATGAGAAATATCCCAGAGCTCGTCATAACAAGGAAGACCATAGTGAGGCATTGCTCCAGCAAGAACCATGGCTGAGAATGCCGAGACGTGGGCGTTCCCGGGGAGGATCAGAACGTCTTCGGTCTTGCAGCAGCTCATGATCCCCGGTTGAATTCCACACGTAGAGCAAGAACCATAAGTACCCTTGGCAGCATGAAAAGGAAGAGATCAGAGTGCTCAATTCCACTCCAGGCGACGCTAATATCAGACTCCAGGGATCCATGTCATGCAGCTCCGAAAAGCACGGCGGCCATTTGCTGCGCTTCGGCTATGGCTTCTTGTGGCGAGTGCAAGTTATCCAGGCCTGGCAGCTCCGGGAGATCAAACTGGAAGAGTTGAGCTCCGAGAAGCTTGGAAATCGAAGAGGGCGCTGAGGAGCCGCGGCCGTGGCCTGGGAAGTGAAACGCAGCGACACGCTCCTCGCCGGTTCTCTTGAGAGCTTCTAGCAAAGCAGCTGAGAAAGAAGGGAGTAGTAACGGATTGAGCACCGTCGTCGGCAACGCCATGACTCCTGAAAGGGAAAGAAGCACGAATACTTGATACACGATATTGTTTCAGGAATGCAAGATCCACAAGCTTTCATCAAGGTCTCAAATGTAAATTCTTTTTCCTTTTATCTATACCAGAATCGAACCCGAAACGTATGCTTTGGGAAACTGAGGTCCTACTTAACTGGTTTAATCTATTTTAGTTAGATGAATAATAACTTATTGAGCAAAATTTTTGCATAAAAGTTTGGACTCTTTGGCATTAAACTCAAGTAGTTTACCTCTTGATACCCATGATCTCAGCATATCATACTATGTACTTGAACCATCAGTAAACTTTTGGCTTTGGGAATTTGTTAGATTGTCTGATTATCCCTAGTCATAGTATGCTATGAAGTACTCATAGAAAGATTCTTTTTAGCACCACAAGGTGGATTTTAAATTGGTGGGTTTCTCTATTAATCACAATGTTTTTTTCAATTCCTAAGGGAAAGCAAGCTAGATGGATTAATCCAAGCCCCAGACTTTGCAGGTTGCAAGCTCAATTATATTGATCCTCTATCAAGAATTACTGAAATTGGGTTTTTATATTTTCATACACCTTCTATGGTTATATTTGAATGCACTTATATGTCTAAGATTTTTTTGGCTAAGTATGGAGCTAATTAGAGAATGCGGAAATATTAAAACATTCCCTAAAGATTCCCTTAAGGCATATTCTAGGGATGCTCAGTCAATCTATCCAGTTGTTTTAACCAGATTTTAGCTCCTTGGTTTCTGGCCACTAGCGAGCAGGAGGAGCAAAAGGAGGATCTCCAGAGGAGTATCAGGAAAATGTTAGGCTAGGATATTCTTAGAGGAAAAGAACAGCACTCTAGCTAGAGCAAATGGAGCAAGCAGCTATGGAAGCTCCAACAAACAATCACAATCACCTTATAGATTATATCGGGATTCTGCGGTAGGAACACCTAAAAGCGCTGTTGACTAATGCGCATGCCTAGTTGGCACGCTGGTGAAGCCATTCTTCTCCCACTATATAAACTGGCTAGTGTGCATATCGTCTCTGCGCTTGTTCCAAGCACTATGAAGAATTCCAAGTGCGCTCTCCTCATCCTTGTTTCCATTGTTCTTGCATCTTCAATCAAACAGGCTTCTTCTGCTGCTCCAGTAATCGATTGCCTCAACGTCATGCTTCCTGAAGCTTGCCGTGTTCCAATTCAAGGCGACAAGTGCTGCCAGCTCCTGATCGACATCGCTGAGACCTGCGGCTGCGAGCTCAACCTGTTCCAGAATCTCAAACTCACCTGCGACGATGAGTTGTGCCCCTCTCCAGCTCCATAATAATCCTAATCCTCGAACAGTAGTTATAAATCAATTGCATCTCATGATGCAAGGTCTTATAATAAGAGATTTGCCCAGGTCTCTTGGCTTAGAGACCTGAGCTGTGTTCCCTCATGGTGCCGGCTGATTTTGAACTAGTGCATGCTGGAGAATTCTGCATTGCAGCCGTTTTCTTAGGTCCTCCAAGCTAGCACCAGCTAGCTGATAGAAGAAAATATTTCTATGCATTTCTTCTGGACCATCTCATCTCTGGAGGAAAAAGAAACAAACAAAAAAAAGGCATCACAATAAAAGACAAGCATACCTCACTCTCCGGAATCGTGGAACCCCGTTGCTCATTTTCGAGAGGCCAGACAAAGTTCTCGACCGGGAGAAAACTTCGAATGCAGGGACACGAGGAGAGAGATTTCGCGAGATCATCAAATAGATGTGGGAGTGAACAAGACCACGTCAGCGCGCAGGGCCACGACGCTGCCACAAATTGTCACGATAAACTCATACATTTAACCATGTATCAACCGTCATAACAATAATAACCACATGGTATCGGAGCAGGCAAGAGGAACTTATTCGAACATTTTTTGCCTTACAAGTAGCATTGGCAAGAATCGAACCCGAAACGTATGCTTTGGGAAACCGAGGCCCTAACCGACTGGTCTAAGTTGTTTTAGTGAGCTAGCGAACCAGAACAAAGGCTACTTAAAGAGCAAGATTTTTGCATAAAAGTCCTTGTTGATTGAACCCTTCGGCATCGAACCCGGGTCTTCTACACCGGTTTACCTCTACACTTACCTGGTAGCCATCATCTCAGCAACCGGGTTCCAATAATAAAATATCATACCATCTACTTGAACCATATGGCATCCATGACACTCTGTTAGATCGCGGATCTGCCTGCATCTCGCTACTCGAGCTAAAATCGGGGAAGGGCTTCTGCCAAGAACGAAATGCTGGTAGATGGATCGGGGTGGCGCTCCTCTTCCAAAATACTGGATCCGAGAATGATAGTGGGGCTCTGGGTGTGGGGAGTTCACTCGGTGGTGGATTAAACGATGGAGAAACCCCACTCGCCAAGGAAGGAAAATCGATAGGAGTTTTGTTCGAGATTTTCTCGCTCACTTGCTGTTTCTATGAATGAAGAAGGGAGGAGAACAACTGGTGGCTCATTCCCGTCGCTCTGCTCATCTGCAAATGTACCCAGGCAAGGATTGTAGATTGGCAGATCCAGGAATGGACTGTCGAAGACCTGGGAGCTCTGGAACATGTCCTTTCCTCATTACATAGTACGTTCGCAAAATTATTATTTGTGATAAATTAATAATTTAAGAAGTTCAAACAATATTTTAGTAAAGTTTCAAGATTGTTAATAGTATTTTTGACACTCTCTTATACAATTTACCAACGAAATAGTTTTTGATTAATCCCACAGTCAGTTAAAAAATTAAAATCCATTGTGAACTCACAAAAATTAAAATCTACATATAAAAATATATATTGTGCAGAATTATCAACAAGAACACTTGGACATTTGTCTGAGGTGGCAGATGGCAAGAATAGAGAAGGAGGTTAAAGAGTTTTTCAGAACTTTGTAATAGCCTAAAGGTGTTTTAGGTGAGAAATTAAAAAAATCCGTATGCATTAACAGTTAATTTTGTTATTGTAAATTTGTTAACATTATCAATCCTGACAGTGTTTTAGAAAGTTTATAAATTATAAACATGTTTAAAATTAATCTAATTATATATAGTAGAACGAAGTGTTTAGAAATTATAAACGCGTTCCCTGCAAGCCGGCCTCAAGTGGTCGCAGGAGTTCTTCACGATGGAACCGTTCAAGCTGTGGATCGAGAAGCGCAGGGAGAAGCTACGGCGGGACTGCCGCGAGGATTGGACGAGACCCCTGAATCCTGTGAGTTTTGCAACAAAGTGCTGCAAAGTTGGGACTCCTTGACAGCAAAGTATAGTGAGAATATCAAAGCTGCGAGAAACAAAGATCAAAGCTAAGATCAAAGTGCGAAGATAAAAGAGAGACACTTTGAAAGGAGATATTCGTTCTTCTGCCTCTTTTGTGATGCATAGCTAGCTCCTGGAATGCATGAAATTCCTTATCGGAGTGTCTCCTCCACCTTTTTCCTTCCCCCTATGAGCTTGGAGCTTGGAAGTCGGAGCTTTGAACATGGAGCTCGACTCGATCGATCCATGGTCTACATGATACAGCAGTTCGCGTTCTCGTTTGCTAGGCCCGGTGGCAAGGAGGCCAAGTTATCCGGTGAGAAGCTGGGAAAAAGGAGTTAAGAGAGGACGAAGAACACACACACGGACTTACATTTGCAAGCCAGGAGCGAGTTCTTCGATCATCTCCGCCGGGGGTTGTCCGCAGCTCTGCATGGATTGCATCAGCTCCATGATGACATTGAAGTTGTCCGGGGTGGTCTCGTAGACGTGACAGAGCTGCTTGATGAGATCGTGCTGCCTCGAGTATCGATCAAACTCCTCCTGGCTGAGTTTCGACTTGTTGGCGCTGAGCCACTCCGGGTATCTCTCGCCAATCTCCAGCATTGGCTGATAGAGCACGTCCTTCGAGAGGAGCTGCTGCATGAAAGTCCCCATCACGGATTGTAGATCCTGAAAGAAAAATAAAAACCTTGAGAATCGCAAGAACAACGAAGAACACGAGATCTTTCTTTTTTACCTCTGTTCCAAGGTAAGACTCAAATTCCTTGGTCATCTTCTCCAGGAGCTCTTGCTCTTGCTCTTGCGCCTGCGGCAATGGATCAATGCGGTGCACCGTGTCCTTGGTCTTCTCCGCGAGCTTCTCCAGCGTCGCGTCCCTCGAGCTCACATCTGGATTAGCGCTGGAGCTGCTGCTGGACGACGATCTCTTCTTCGCCACTTGCAGCGGCGGCAAGCCCTTCCCGAGCGCCTGCGACTCTGGCGATCTAACGACCGATCAATCAAACCCCGGGGGAGGAGAGCCGCTTGCTTACCTCGAAGATGGAGCATCCGCCGGCTTGAAATCGCCCAGCGCACCTGGCAACACAAGACAAGAAAGAAAACCCCATGAATCCAAGGAATTCGCCGTGCGCGCGCGCATCACTCACTGTCCAGGAGACTATCGAGAGAATCGTCCACGCTCGCCATGGCGGAAGAAGCAAAAACCCAGGCGCTCGGAAGAGCCCTAAAACAGGGGAAGAACCCTACACCCTAACAGAATATGCATTCATATCCTTCTTTTTTGCCCTAATATTTAGGGCCACAGAGGGGTGCGCCCTTATAGAATCTTTTAAATTGGAAGAGGCGGGAAGAGGGAGGAGAATGCGAATGCTTTTGGGCGTGTGTGGATGCAGCGATCAGGTCGATGAGCTCTCGGGAACTCGCTCGCCTATACGGTCCCGCAGGAAGATCCACCACACCCATCCACAGATCGTCCAAAAGGTATCCCATCAAATCTTCTTCCGTGTGATTCTTTCTTCCAAATCCTCTCGATTCCTTCTTCCTCCTTTGCATTCTACAAATCTATGCATCGAAACCTTTCAAATCTTCTTCTTTCCTTTCATTCCAATCCAATTCCACTGACCCAAGGCTTTGAAAAGAAACTCTTCACTGCAGCTGGAGGACTTAAACCACCACCGCCGCCGCGAATCCAAGGCCACCAACACGGCGGCCACCAACGGATCATCGCTCCACACCAAGTACGATGAGATCAGCGCCAGCCTTGCCAAGTGCAAGGACGAGCTCCGCGAGCTCCAGCAAAAGTCTCTCAGCGTCACGCCCTCTCACCTCCGCCAAAAGTACGTGACCATGGGCGACGGCCTCAAGAGGATCAAGGAGGAGCTGCTAGCGCTCGAGAACGAAACCAAGTCGCTGGATCCGGAAAGCCAAAAGGCCAAGTACGAGGCTCTCCACATCCAGCTCGCCAAGAGCCGGAAAGAGATCGAGGACGAGTTGCAAAAGTGCTGGACGCAGCTCAAGCTCCACCACCTCGAGTCACAGTTTGCGAGCGCTACGTACGGCAAGGGAAGTTTGATGTGAGCCTGCAACTACAAATGGTTTTTTTTCTTCTCAAACATCTTGGAGGAATCCAAAGCCATACCTTTAGCGTACAAACAATACCGAGAGAACTAAAACCTTCGAATGTCCCTTGGAGGCCTGAAGTTGAGCGGATGCGTCTGAGGCGTGGCGTTCTCGTCTTGCCTCCACATTTTTATCGTCTTGTCAGCTTCGCAAGTTACAAGTCGGGTCCCGGTGATGTCGAAAGAAGCCGCAAAGATACTCGCTTCGGCATCCAGCGAACCTGCCATGAGCAAGAGTTACGCAACCTGGACCACTTCCCCACCAAAATGCGTACCTGGCTGAACGATGGTTTGAGTTTGCTGGAAGTTATGGCCGCTAGTCCAATCCCAGAACCAGATGCTTCCGTTATCACCTGATACAGCGCAAACGTTAGATGATTCGAAGCTACACTGGTCGATGCGTTGTTTTACCTCCTGTTACAAGCACGTTCTCTTCGTTCAAAGCCATGCAGTTAACGATAGCCTTTTGCTGTGAGCTGTGAGAAAACACACAAACCATGTCCAATTTTGACGTTTCGACGCTATCAAACAGAAAAGGAATTAACTTACAGCATGTTGTGCACAAACTCGCCCCTCGGCAAGCTGAACTTCTTAATATTGTCCGCTGAGGCAGATGCAAACGCGGGCCTGCAAGGCAAGTTAGTGAAACAAACATACTTAAGAAAAATCGAACATACTGTAGCGGATGCAAGGCGAGTGCGCGCACCGACTTTTTGTGAAATGTCAAAGTCGAGAGTGTCTTTCCTGCACACCAGAACAATCGTTATCAGTGAAACTACAAATTGAACTATTTAGGAGAACTTACCTGCTGCTAGATTCCATAGCTTGACCGTGCAGTCGTGAGATCCAGTCACCACTTGTGGATCCTGCCAAAGTGTATGAGTCACGCACAAAAACAAAATAATCCCTGTTTGAAAACTTACTGTGGCTTGTGTTATCACCGAGCATACAGTGTTGTCGTGCCCAGATAGAGCAAAGATTTGAGCTTTTGTGCGCATATCCCAGACCTGGAAAGCAGTTTGTGTGCATAAGAACAGGCACACTCTTCATGAGTTAAAATCTTACTCGACAGACGGAATCCCTTCCTCCTGTTAAGAGTATATCCAGAGTAGGATGAAGCGTAAGACAGTAAACTCCACTTAAGTGCCCATGGTAGGATCGGATAACCTGCCCCAGACATGCATGAGTTTTAAATTAAGAACGGACGCATTCCTCACCTTGTTGTATTCGAGATCCCAACATTTCACTTGCTTGTCGTCTCCAGCCGAAAACATGTAAGGATGGCGTGGACTAACAGCCAGCCCTATTTCAAACATATACAAGAAACATTTAAGACTAAATCCAAACTTCAAATGTAGAATGCAAACCTCGAACTTGCTCAACATGACCTGTTAACGTTAACTTCAGGGTAGCTGAGGCAGTATCCCAAATCTAAAAATGAACAAAACGGTCAGAATGAAGTAGCGGCATAAAAATGAAAGGGAAAAAAAAAAAAAAGAGCTTACTTTTATTGTACGATCTGCAGATCCCGTACAGAACCACTCGTTTCCTGGATCGAAAGCTATCGCTCGAACCCATCCCAAGTGAGCACTAATAACCTGTGCAGTTGCAATAAGATCAATACACAGTACTCGTGAAAAAACGTGAAGTCTCACTCTATAGTTCTTCCATGGAGCATGCCACTCCGGCTTCGGCCACCTACTGGGAAGCCTTCGCATTACAGCCGCACTCGGTTGGTATCTCGCTATGCCACTAGACAATGGAAAACTCTGTTAAAACCGGAAACATATGAGCGTGAGTCGCTACATACCTTTCTGGTGTTCCGGAAGGAGTAAAAGCAGGCTGAGGACCGACAGGGCCCGCACGAACAATCTGACCGGGTGAAGCATCTGGCAAAGCCGCAGGCTTCACATCCACAGCAGCATTCGTTAATGCGTACGCGTTTTTCAGAGGCTGCTGTGTGATTTGTGGGAGATCTTTCACCACAGCATACTCCGCTTGCTGAAAGGCACAAGGGAAAAAAAAAAAAAAGAGGAAAAATTAATGTAAGCATGCGCTAGAATGAGAAGAACAAAAGGAGTACGAAGTTCCTTACAAAATCATTCTCAAAAGGGCACACACCTTATAAGCAGTCCTGATTCTCCGGCTGCCAAAGAAAGACGCCATCAGCTCTTTGGTTCGCTACATCGCTACTAAAGAGATCTCACCTCTCGGCGCCTACCGGATCTGGAGGAGCGTTGCCGAAGAACTCCGCGGCTTGCTGCAGCGACGCAAGCGTGAGCTGCTCGATCGATTGCGGCTTCTCTGGCGGCACCAAGGGCGCCTCATCGACGTCCATCGCCTGCGTCGCCTCCATTGCCGCGGGCATACTCTCTAAAACCCTAGCCAAAAAGCCCTAAATTCGCAAAGCCAACAAAGAATATACCCAGCTATAAATACCAACATATTTTAACAAAGAAAAGTATTCCCAAACACACAGTGAGATAGTGAGATAATGAGAGAAAGGGGAGGCAAACTATCACTAGCAATCATAAAATGAGTCCACTAATGCCAGTGCTTGTTCCCTGCAGCTAAGTCATGGAGGCCACCTATGGTCGATCCACAGTCAGGGCACCGCGACTCCGCATATGGTCGACCGCAATCTCCCACAGCGTAGACATGGCCCTCTGGGCACTGGTACCATTTGCCTCTGAGATTGGATTCAGCCGTCTGCATGGCTTCCATTACCTGGTGAGTTAGTCTCTTTCGCACCATCTCTTTCAAGCTCTCGGCGCTAGCGTTGTTCTTGTCATGCCTGAGAACAATCTCACACAGAGTCGCAGCGTCGGAGAACTCGCTCAGGCTTGTCAGCGCCGATCCCCACTGGATGAGCGATTGGATCGCGAGAGACTGGCTTGGAGCGGCGATGAAGCTGGGGTTTAAGCTGCTGGAGTCGAGCGGATTATCAGGGTGTTTGGCTGGCAAACTTCGAACTTCGGTGGCCAGGCTGCTACTCTCTGCTATAAACCGGAGATGAGGGACGGCGTGCTCGAATTCTTCCATCCCGCACAGTGCTTGAGCGAATCCGAAGTGTGCTTCAAAGTTCCCCGGCTGGTTTTTTATGACCTCTTTGAAATGTCCGTGTGCTTGCTCGTATTGTTTCCTCTCTAGCATTTCCATCCCTGCTTTTACGTATCCATAGACTTTCATCTTGACGAGTTCTATCTGATGCAGCTTTCCCTTCACAACGTTTCCGTAGCGAAAGGACTTCCAGACCGGCATCTTGCATGCGGGACTGCAAGAAAGAAAGCAAAAACAGGTCAAATCAGGAACGATGCTTGAGTTACCAGGATTTCGGGACGATTGCTTTGGCAGAATCTGGCTCACCGTGAGCGTCCATATCCATCCACTGGTCAAGCCCCGTTACCTCGAAGATGTGGCCGCAGTCGAGAAGCTCGATGAATCTGTCGGAGCTCTCGCTCTCCTTCAGAGTCATGCGTGTGATTGCATCGAAAGTATCCGAATGGCAAATGCGGCAGGCACTTGGGCAAGGCTCTCCACACAGGCCAATGCAGGGATGCCCACAACCGAGCAGCTTCGTGCACGGGCTGTCACAGCGTGGCCTCTCGCAGATCTGGAAGCAGAGAAGCTTGCAGCTGAAATGCTCACAGTTCCAGGAGCAAGGCTCGAGGCAGCGCTTGCATAGAGCTCTACAGACGTCTGGGCATCTGCTGTGAAAGCAGCGCTTCTCACAAGGCTGTGAGCAAGGTGGGCATGAATTAAATAAAGCGCAGCTCTCAGCCTCAGCGTTGCAGTGGTGCGCGCAAAAGAGATATCTTTTGCACTGCGAGAAGAAGAAAATTAGACAACTAATCATTTATAGTTTCTTGCAGTTACCATGGTTTCTTGCGGATCTGAAACTTGTTCACTTATCTGTTCTTGAACGACTTGGCGCTTTACAGACCTCCATGCTTTCATTCTTCAAGAGCCTAATCCAGGAATTTAGGAAAATATGGCTATAATTGGACGATTTTATAATGATACGCACTTTTGTTTATGTGAACCAAGAAAACGATATATTAAGGCAACATAACAATAATAATAACACTTTGACTCTATACTTATCGCCTCATTTGGGTATTAAAGCTAGCAATAAAATACAAGAAATACAAATGGATTTCCAGGCATTTTTCTTGATCTTGGCCACATTGTCGCTAGATTATTTGGTTGCGACTGCATCAGTCCCAGCTTTGTTTGCGTTTGGGGACTCCCTTGTGGATGCAGGCGACAATGAACACCTCAACACTCAAGCAAGGGCGAATCACCCTCCTTATGGCATTGATTTTGAGAATCACCAGGCAACTGGAAGGTTTAGTAATGGTTGCCTTGTTGTTGATTTGATTGGTAAGTTGAGATAAAAATATTTCTTTCTAATCTACATATATACAATGGCTTTTCCTTGATGGCACAGCATCTTACCTTGGCCTTCCATATCCACCTGCATACTATGGCACAAAGAACTTCCAACAAGGTGCCAACTTTGGGTCAGCTAGCTCTGGAGTTCTTCCCAACACTCACACGGTTAGAGCTCGAATCTTCTAAATCTTCGAGCTTTGATGTAATTAATCTTCTGATCTAAATGCTGTAGCAAGGTGCCCAGACACTTCCCCAACAAGTTGATGACTTTCAATCCATGGCCTCTCAGCTCCAACAGCAGCTTGGATCAAACGAGTCGTCCAGCCTTGTTTCCCAATCCATCTTCTATATATGCATTGGAAACAACGACGTCAACAATGAGTTTGAGCAGCGTAAGAATCTCAGCACTGATTTCCTGCAAAGCGTCTTGGACGGTGTCATGGAACAAATGCATGTAAGTGTCGTTTTGATCTTCATGGGTAACTTTGCGATGATGATCATGATTATTGCAGAGGCTCTACGAGATGGGAGCTCGCAAGTTCGTCGTGGTTGGGTTGAGCGCCGTGGGATGCATTCCCCTCAATGTGCAGCGGGATGGGAGCTGCGCTCCAGTCGCTCAGGCCGCGGCATCATCCTACAATACAATGCTCCGCTCGGCCCTGGACGAGATGTCGAGCACCCACCAAGGTATCCATATCGTGCTCACCAATTTCTACGATCTCATGGTGGACACCAACACCAATCCCCAGCAATTTGGTAAGAAGAAGATTGATGAGTCATAATTCTCATCCTCATGGCCTCTCTTGATCAACACAAAGGTTTTGAGGAATCGACGCGGGCTTGCTGCGAGATGGGCTCTAGAGTACTGAATTGCAACGATGGAGTGAACATCTGCCCAGACCGATCCAAATACGCCTTCTGGGATGGCGTCCACCAGACCGAGGCCTTCAATAAGATCGCTGCGGCAAGGTGGTGGAATGGAACTTCCAGTGACGTTCACCCCTTTAGCATTGGCGAGCTCGCAGCGCTGTAATATATTGTATTTACAAGCGGTTTTTACAAGGTATTGTCAAATGAGCAAGAAAGCCTCCCACCAAGAGTCATCTTTGCTGAAGGAAGCTACAGGATCAAAAAAAGCTACTCGTGCAGCTCGTCATAACATCAGTCGCTTGATTTTTTTCCAATCCCTCTGGTGGAGGACTTTCAAAGCGGCAGCTTGTTCTCTCCTTGTCCTTGTTAGCCCGGAGACAAGAATTTCTTTTGAAAATGTACTTATTTTATTGATCTACAAATGCAAGAGAGCTCTACACTATTTTTAAGGGAATTTTTTCTCCTTGTGCTTTGAATCTTCATGATCCATAGTCTTCTTTCTACAAATGTTGATAGTGATGTTGATGTCGTTGTTGTTATTGTTCTTTCTTTAGTTGGCGGAGGAGAAGTGGAGACTTTCGCACGGTGTACGTTGCTTATAAGGAGCCAGAGAGAAACGTAGAATTGGAGCGTGTTTATCGTGGTCACGGGTCGGGAACTTTCTTATCTCATCCTCTCTTTTTTGTGCGTTTTTCGTCTTTATTTTAATCACAAGCTTTGGGTTTGAGATCTTTTATAATTATGTGAGTATTATCAACATGGTTTAAATCCTTTTGTGCCCAACCTTTTGAGCAGCGCTTTGCACCATTTGCAGATTGGCCTGACGGGGGGAGGAGAGTGATGATTCCAGACGGAACTTACAGCTTTGTGGATGCCGTATCTCCAAATAATCGAGATTCAGGCTCCTGTATTTGAGTACCACGAATTGTGAAGAAGATTCTCTGCGCGTCTGCTGAACAAGTGAGTAGTGTGCATTGACTCTGTATTTACTAGAAATGCTTTCTATGGCATTACAGAAAATTGTTGTGAGCTGCATGATCCGAACGTACTAACTACACATATAGTGCTGACCTCTAGACTTCAAATGGCGAATAGACACACTCCCAAGCTTATAGAAACTTATGTATGTCAGGCTGTTCAAAACAGAGTGTTGCAATATCACATAGGCTAATAAAGTTCTCTCCACAGAAAGATCGCTCTGATTTCCTTAGCTGTGCATACCTTTAGTCTTCGAATGGCGAATCAAGCAGCTCCCAAGCTTGATCAAGAAAGGCCCTGCTACGCTTGTACGACTGGAAGAAGTCCCCAAACCCAAAGCGAGTCATCTTCCTCTGCGGAACCATAAAGTCGCCTTCACTATAGAGGTTGAGCAGGTGAGACAAAAACATCAACACGGCCTCCAGGTGCTTCTCATACAGCGGCTTCCTATCGTCCCTGGCTACCACTGCTGTTCCCACACCATCCTGGTACTCCAGCGGTGCAAAGCCAGAGTCCGGCTGAATCATGAGATACGTGATGCCCTGGTTCTCGTACAGTCCGCGCAGAGGGTGGCCGAGCGGGTTGGGCAGCGGGTCCTCCTGGAACACTCGCAACGGCAGCTTGATCAGCTTGGACACCGGCGAAACGGGCGCGGAGGAGAAGATGGGGTGGCTGGTGTTTAGCACCACCGCCTCACTGGACACGCCCTTACGATCACGCTTGCAGAAGACGCGCACACACTGGATCATCTCACCCTCACCTGATGTTGTTGAGTACGGCAGCGTTGGTGTCGTCATCAGAGGAGCTGGCGTCGATCCGATCCCACTTGCTGTAATCGATCCTGAGCGCACAAATTTAGAGAGCCCTAAAAAATGTAATATATATATATATATATATATATATATATATATATAAAATGTATATAGTGTCAGACAGCTGTTAAAAATAAAATATTATCAAAAAATAAATTTTACTAAATCTAATAACTTTACTAGTGTGTGTAGAGTAAGAGCATAAAAAAGCCACACTTTTTGCCTTGTGAATTTGTGGCCACCCAATGTGGGGAAGACAATTGATTAAAATAGAGATTCTTGGTACCCATAAAGAAACTTTGACAATATAGTGGATTCCTTCATTTATCTAATAGTATAAACAAAACCCAACAAGATCCAGAGTGACATTTAACAGCTCAAAAGGAGTGTTAGAGGTATATCCTTCCAAAGGACAGTATGTGCAAAGATATAGTGCATTAATGACCAGCTCACTAAAGAAAACATGGAGCTCTATAGTGAGATCCATATTCTGAAGGTGAAGTAGCCTTTAGTAATGGAAGATGATAATGAAAGTGAGCATGACGAGGAAACCACTTTGCAAAAGAATCTCTTGGCTCATCACAGTTTCAGTTATAACATTAAAACCATACATGATCAAGAGATTTCTCATTAATTATTATCCACATAATATTTCATTTAAAATTGAGGGAGAGTAATTTGTAATGGCAATTTTTGGGGGAAATACACTTATTAAAAAAGCAAGTAACAAAAAGTTGGAAGCATATAAAATATGTAAACTCCAAATGTATAGTAGGGATAGTGGTTGGAATGCATGTTTGACCACTTGAAACATAAGTTTGACTCCCATTAGGCTGTATTGCTCCTTGTTTTACATTTGGCTTGGGTCTAAGCCCAAATTCCACGCTGCTCTAGTTGGTGGGGTACCCTCCTCGCGTTAGGCCACCGATATGCCAAAATTATGCCAGACTCCGTCTGACACCATTTTGCGTGCAAGTGTTGGATGCGGGGAGCTGGTGCTCGTGGGATTGTACTAGACCCTCATTTCATAGCATAATGGGCTTGGAGTTTGGCTATAAATTCAAGTGCGCTACATTTGGTATCAAAGGAATTGTCTCATCCAACTTTTGTCGGATTTTCTGACTTAATTTGCATATGCAGAGACTTTTCTGGTAGATCTAAAGCGACTTGTATAGGATTAGTTAGATTGCACCATTTGGTAAGAACATTGTATACATGTTCAGTTACTGATAGAGGCATGCATGCAACTAGTGGGATGGTGAAAAGGAATCATGCTGATGACGCTAAAACCTTTAGACAGGTGAATCGAGAGGAGTGAACTCCTGCTAGAGATGCTGCGGAAGAGGATGAGGCCGAATCAGAAAAGGAAGAGCCAAATGCTGTAGCATTATAGTGTATGGCTTAGGAAATCGAGATTGAGAATTTGTGAAGGAAAGTTCACAAATTGAAGAAGGAGAACAAAAAAAAGAAGAACGAAGCTGAGGTAGTTAAACTAGTTAAACTTAAACAACCGGACTCCTCTTTAAATTTTGAGGACGATGAAATTCTGCAACCACCTCCGGTTGCACGAGTTTCAAAGTTCAAGCCTCCAAAACTACCCAATTTCAAAGGCATGCGGGACTATTAGGTTTTGGAAGATTGGGTCTATGATATGGAAAACTATTCCATAACGGCAGACATTAGCGATCATATGAAAGTTGCGTGCATGCAATCATTTCTCACCGATCATGCCAAAACTTGGTGGTGCCAAGTGTGTGCTGAAAAAGGGCAAACTAGAAGTTAAACTAAGATGCGGTCTTGTATCTGTAAGGAATACTTGCCGGATGATCTTGGTCTAAGACTTCGCGTGGAGTTGCGGCGGTTAAAGTAGCAAGGGGACCTCATGCATTACGTTAATGCGTTTGCTCAGAAGCGCATTATAATTGCAAATATGAGTGATGAAGATGCTCAAAGTTATTTCCTGGAAGGTTTAAGTTTACTTTCTCGCAATGAGATTTTGAAGTTTAAGCTGAAGACGTACATGGAATGTAAGGAGGTAGTGCAGTAAGTTGCCTTCAGTCACTCGCTCATGGAACAATATCAGCAGCTATATACTGGTACCTCAGACAAGAATAAGAATTCTAGGAATAAACAAGATGACTGGAAACAGAGGGTGGAAGGAAGGTTTCGCCCTAAAAGCTCACAAGCAACGGTTAACAAAGGTGGTGCTTGAAGACCACTAGCAACTTCTTCTAGTTCTAGGCTTTTTGTTCCTCTTCTTGGTGGGTACAAACAGCAGCAACCTATGAAATCTACTCCTAATGGAACGGGTAGTGTGGATCATTACTTCCATTGTGGAGAGTCAGGACATAGGTCCTCGGAATGTCCCAACAAGCATAAGACAAGGTCTCGTGTTAGTGTCATGAGGGAAGATGGTGGTGGTGAAGCTAAAGGGGTTGATGAGTTGGTCAATGCAAACTATGAGGAATAGGAGGTGAGTTACTTTTGTTTCTTTCCTCAAGTTTTTCTTGCAGTCAATGCAAACACTGATCTGTTGATGTATTTGGTAGGCTTTGTTCATAGACACTGAATCCAAGTGATGATTGACATAGGAGCTACGCACAGTGTGATATCCGAAGACTTAGTTAAGTTGTTAGGATTAAATGTTGAGCAAATGTTGCCTATGCACTTCTGGTTTATGGAAGGTGGGCAAGTAGCCAAAAAGTTTGTAAGTGATGTTCCAATAAAAATATCTAAGTGGAAAGAAAGAGTGACCTTGGTAGTGTTGGAGATACTAGATTTTCAGATGGTGTTTGGTATGGACTTCTTCAACAAATATATTAAAGGGATTTATAATGTTGGACAAAGTCGTATCACATTGAACTCAAAAGGCCATCTTGATGTGTCCTTCTAGTTGCAAAAGCACTCCTCAAAGGATTGGGATGCTAAGTTCTTGATTGCAAGAGCCGCTCAAAAATTAGCTAAGAAGGGATGTCAGACCTTTTGGGTTCAAGTGATGGAAATTGAGGATGTTGATGACTCAGTTCGAATTGATGAAGGAGTTGATCCTGTACCAAAGAAGATATTGGAGTTGTTGGCGAAGAATCAGGATATCTTCCCAAAGGATTTGCTGCCAGAGCTATCTCTAGCCGTGAGGTTGATAATCGGATTGAGGTTATTCTGGGTTCTAAACCACCTACAAAAGCTTCGTATTGTTTAAACATCAAGGAGATGGCTGAATTCAAGAAGCAACTTACGGAGCTTCTTGATAAAGGTCATATCTAACTAAGCAAGTCACCTTATGGAGCGCCAGTACTTTTTGTTATGAAAAAGGATGGACCCATGAGGATTTGTATTGATTATTGGGCACTCAACAAAATCACGGTCAAAAACAGTTATCTTTTACCTTGCATTGATGACTTGTTTGACCAACTCTTAAAGGTTAAGTATTTTACGCGACTTGATTTGCGGTTCGGGTATCATCAGATACGGGTGGTAGATCAGGATGTAGAGAAAACAACTTTTAAGACACGGTACAAATTTTATGAGTTCCTTGTCATGCCATTTGGGTTATGCAATGCTCCAATGACATTCAGCACTATAATGGATAGAATATTCAAAGATTATTTGGACACATTTATTATCCTATATATTGACGATGTTTTAGTCTTTAGTGAAACATTGGACGATCATTTGAAACACTTGGAGTTGGTGTTTCAGAAATTGCGTGAACACAAACTATATGCTAAGAAAAGTAAATATGTTAGTTGCGCATAAACTTTCTTAGACATATAGTTGGTAGTGGCGTAATTGAGGTGGATCCAAAGAAGGTGGAAGCGCTGAAGTCCTGGGAAGTCCCAACCACTGTATCAAATGTTCGTTCCTTTCTCGGTTTAGCGGGATACTATCGCAAGTTTGTCCGCAATTTTGCAAAAATTCCTCTTTCATCGATTGAGTTAATGAAGAGCAATATACCATTTCATTGGCACCAGATTGTCAACATGCTTTTGTACGATTGAAGGAGATCTTGACTACAGTTTTTATTCTCATGATCCCAGATCTTGATAAACACTTTGAAGTGCATTGTGATGCATCTGGCTATGCTATTGGTGCTGTGTTATAGAAAGATTGTAACAAAGCGATTGGTGTTACACTAAGGCAACATGGTTGTCCCATTGCATTCTATTCCAAGAAATTAGATGAAACTCAATGAAGATGGCCAATGCATGAGAAAGAGATGTTTGCTATAGTGTCAGCCTTGGAATACTGGAGACACTATTTGGGTAAGGTTTATACAGATAGTAACACACTGAGCTACTTTATTACATAGCCTAAGCTTATGCCAAAGTAGGCTCGTTGGCAAGAGAAGCTTGCTAGATATGATATTGAAATCATATATAAATCTGGTAAAGTCAATATTGTTCCGGATGCATTGAGTCGTCAAGCTCAATTCTAGGCAATATCGGCAATCAGTTTGGACTGGTTGGAGGATGTTTAGGTTTCGTATGGAAGTGATTTGTTGGCGAAGACAATCTTGCACCTTGCGGAGTTGTCAAAGTAGAACTTTGGTAGTGAAGCGGCAAAAGTTGTTAATAAAACCAATGCGAAACTTCACTTCTCAGTTCAGGATGGGCTTATATTTTATAAACAAAAAAGGTTGTATCTTCCCTCTAAGGATTTGTAGTAGTTGTTTCTGCAGGAAAATCATGATGTTTTGGCAATGGGACATGGTGGAAAGTGAAAGACTCTGGCTTCATTGAAAAAGGGATTTTTCTGGTCTAGTATGGAAGGTGATATAGCGGACTATGTCCATTCCTGCCCTATATGCCAGCAATGTAAGCAGAACTGAGAAGCAAGTTGAAAAGTTGTAGTGCATTTCAACACCGGCATGGCCATTTCAGAGTGTGACACTTGATTTCATCACTTGCTTACTAAAGTCTAAGGGTTATGATACTTTGATGGTGGTTGTGGATTGGTTGTCGAAGATTGCACACTTCATTCCAACGGTGAGAATAATGAATGCAAAACAAGTAGCAAAACTCTTTTTCCA